ATAGGCAGGAAGATTCTATTGGCCAGAGTGAGAGCCAACAGCTCACTGACACGAATGTTAACTAGCATGCAAAAAAAATCGATAGCTGCATTCGTCACAAGTGGGAAAAAATTAAATCTGCATGACACTTTACTCCAATTGGCTCATTCGCTTGCTTAAACTCAATGTTGATTCTGATTCCGCAGAACTGGGTTGGATGTGAAAAAAGTATTTGTTGTTAACATTCTTTTTCATTCGGTTTTTCCAGTTATGAGTCCTTTTTTAAAGCTGATCGTTTTGTGTTCATTTTGTTTAGTTCTTTTTCATAACAGATTTAATGTTTTGTATAGAGCTTAGAAAAAAAATTCGCAGTGTGAGATAGGCAAGAAGTAAGGCATGTAGCAAGATCAGCACGGCAAAGGGCACTCCTTTAAAGGCAAGGAAGGGCAAAAATATTTTAAGTCAAGTGATAGCGATTGCTGCATGAGTCGTACGATTTTTGAATCAAGCATGGGCAACGCTGGGCCATGCTGCTAGTAAACAATACAGCAGCAAAAAAACTAGTGATATAGTGTATGGGTAAATCAACTGTTTAACCCCAAACTCACATACCACTATAGAAGAACCAGTTATTTATCCTCAATATGCACACAACTTAGCAGAGGATATCACAAAATGGCACATCTAGTAGTCATCAAACTCATTACAGAAGCTGCTTTGTTTGTAAAAAGAGTTTGCAAGTAACCATTGCACCACAATAGGCATCTCTTTTATTCATCTTAATTTTTTTTATGATCTGCCATCTTTATGTTGATCACATAAAGATGGCAGATCATAAAAAAAATCTTAATGCTGATATTTACTAAGATTAGCTGAGTATGAAACAATGCCAGGTGGAGTAATATGGAGTCAGGAAGATAGGGTTACACCACTCATCCAAGTGGAAAAGACTTGCTTTACTTAAAAAGAAGAGGGACGGTGAAGTAATGGATAGTGGCTCGGATTGAGAAATCGGGGAGCCGAGTTCGAATTCCAGTCAAATCCATTGCATTAACTTAAGTGCTAATACCCTTGGGAAAGGTATGAATTCTCTTCTTCTCCCCCACCCAGCTATGGGTAAATAGCAGGACATACCAGGTTCTATAGCCTTGGATAGCAATTGGTCTATCACAGAAAGTAATGGCAACCTACTGCAGGAAAAAATCTGCCTCGTCAGTCAAGAGACATGATTGCCTAAGTGTGTATCACGCATGGCACATAACTGACTGATTTTTAAAAATCAGGATTTGAAACCTTGGCTTTTATCCCAATCTGTTAATGGTAGAAAATACATAATTATCTGAGCCATGAAGTTGATGACATTTTCATTTTATAGCTTCTGCTCTATCACTAAACTACAATTACATTTAACCAAAGAGGCTACCAAGTGGAAGTAAAGTTTTCCTTCTTGTAATTAAAACACTTGCATATTTGAACTTGAAGGCTGATTGATTTGTTTTCTATGGTTTATCAACCTTTTGCAGGTTACTTAAAGCCAGAAAGTAGTTTTAGATTGTAAGAATATTTTTTAAAGACATTAATGGTTTAGTAATACATGTCTTACTAATTAACCCATAGCTGGAGGGAGAAGAGGTGGATTCATACCTTTCCCAAGGATATTTGCATGTTAGTGAATATAATGAACCTAACAGGAATTGGAATTGGAACACAGTTCTCTGATTGACAATTCTGAGCCATTATCCATTACACCATCTGCATATCCAAGCTTACAGAACCTGGTATTCTCAAGTGGTCATTCATCTAGGTACTGATTAGGATTGATGTTGCTTAACTTCAGTGATCATATGGGAACCAATGTTTCAATGTTATGTGACCAAAAGTCTTTTGAAGACTTTGAGAGTTGTGATAAAAAGCAACAAAAACAATACTTTACTTTTACTTTTTCATATTGTTTTAGAATAATACTCACCCTGTACAAGGCCCAAGAGCCATTCAAGGTAGAGGGTTACAGAGTAAGAGGCATAGGGATATATGTGGAAGCTAACAGTTAACCATGAACTGATTATGATTGTAGTGATCAGGGAAGCACTCTATTGGGAGTCAGTTTTACAAAGCAGCATTATTTTTGCTTTTTATCACAACTCTCAAAGTCATGTAAGAAGTTAGAAAACATCAAAAACTGCTAGTGCAAATAATAAACAATATTGCAGAGAAGCTAGCAATATAATGTATTTGAGTAATGTCTTCCCATAAAGCTTCGACGGCCTAACTGGTAAAGTCATTTTCACAGACAAGCTCCCTAAAGGATAAGAGACGCAAGTTCAAATCTTATATACTGGATGTTCAGTTCTTTATTTTTTTATCCATATTACTTAAGTTGTAGAATAACAGACTAATAAAGAGTTGTGTTAAAAAGCAACAGAAATAAAATGAAAAAAGAAGTCAAAAATGAATCATCTGTCTACTTTTCAAGGATTAATTGTAAAATCTAACCATTTTTAGTATTATTGCATCTTTTGCTTCAGAGCATTGACTGGATATCACTTGTATTGTTCTAACCTTGTCAATTAATTATGTGCCATGTGTTATACATACTTAGGCGATCGTGTATCTTTCAATACATGACTGATGAGGCAGATTCTTTCCTGCAGTAGGTTGCCATTTCTTTCTGTGGTAGACCAGTTGCCATCCAAAGCTATAGAACCTGGTCTATCCTGCTTACACATAGCTGTGGGGAAAAGAAGAGGATTCACACCTTTCCCAAAGGTATTGGCATGTAAGTGAATGTAATGGATTTGAACTTGGCTCTTAGATTCCTCAATCCGAGTCACTATCCATTACTCCACCATGCCTCCTAACCTTGAGGTGGTGTAAATAAAAATAGGAATATTTGCAAATTACAAACCAAACATTTTCTTATTAATCATTTTAGACCTAGATGTTTTTTTATGTGATGTCAAGTTGACAAACTATCATGTCTGCTGCTCCAAGACAATCTTCATCATCATGTTAAAATTATCTCAAATAATTCACTTAATTAAAAAGAACCTGAGAACAAATAAATATTTTTAAAATACTGACTGCTCCCAAGTTGTTCAATAAACAAATATTACCTAAAATATTTTTTATAGTTACATTTACCACTTACTAACTATAAGGGAGTAATTGTCAAAGTTCTACAAATGTACCCACAAAAAAACAGTTTTTCTCTTGATACTGCTATTACTGCATACTCTTTCAGCAATATTTATTGTTTTAAAAAGTTATGTTTAGAATTTTAATAAAGCCCAAGCATTCTCTTTTTTCTTACAATAAAAAAAAAAGGGGTGATGTTAAGCCATGTAATTTATTGCTTAATAAACAAAAGTGAGTAAATATGTTTGAGGTAATAAATTAAATCACTTAGTATCCTCCATAGTTTATGTTTCCTTACACAATTGGCTTTAATATTTTATAGCGTTCGTAAATTTAAAAACCTAATATTTTTCTTCCATTTTACTTTTGTTTATAAATACAAGTTGCAAAGTAGAATCTCGACATTTGCCTTGATAGTCCCTCAGGGTGAAAACACATTGGTGAGGAAAAATTGTGTGTGTGTGTTTGTGTGTGTGTGTGTATATTAGTTAAATATGACAGTTAAGGAAAACTTAATTTTTTATTTTGTTTATTCCAATGTTATTACATTTTTCCATTTGGTGGGAGTAAGAGTGCAAAAATTGTCCCAAGTGTTTTGTTTAGATGCTGTTAAATTCTCTTCATGTTTTGACATTTAGTGTTTTTTTTCTTTGTTGTTTTGAATGCTAGAACGAAATTAACAACACCTAAACAAAACCCCCTTGAAAATTGTCCATTGTCCCAAGTGCTTCTTGGCACTTGGGACAAGGGACAATTTTTGCATTCCCTTACTCCCATCAAATGGAAAATGTAAGAACACTGGGGAAAAAAAAAAACTAAATAAAAATGAATTAAATTTTCCTTATCAGTCAATTTAATGAAAGATGTTTAAAAGAAAGGTTGCTGCCCAAATATATATATACATACATAACTGATAACAATCCAAATCTTTCTGGAAGAAAATGTTGACAGTATTTTTTACAATCTGAACAGTGAAGATTTCAAGTGACAATGCATATTTGAATTTCAGTGTGTATCAGATTTTACTGATCCTGTTTTATTTCTTGATAATAAAATAAAAAGCCAAAGATGAAAAAATAAATTCAACAAATTTATTTCAAATTCAAATGAATAGACTTTTCTTTACTTTTACTTCACATAAGTTCCACTCACTTCACTCCTCTGGGCACTCCAAGATCTTCCGTGTAAGCATATAAGAAATCAACTTCACAGAAATTGTGGACAAGCAGTAGTGATACAGCAAGGAGGAGACATTGGTTAAGGACAATTCTATTCAACCATTCATTTAAATGATTTTATATTGAAGGGAAATCTATTATTCTATACCCACAAATCACTGACTCATGTTTGCTTTTCTATGCTATGTTCATTTATCTGTTTATTTTGTATTATTTTATAAGTCTCTTTTTACTGATTCAGTTTTATATTTTTATTTTGTAATAAACCTGTTGATCACACAGTGGTTTAGTAAATCATTATTCAATATGGATGTTTCCTTTACAGTCCAAATATTAAAGTTAACAATGTGACTGAAAACAAGATCTGATTTGTCATTTTTATCAGAAATTTATTTTAACTAGCTTTTTTCTGATATAAGAATATCAGGTTTGTCAAAATAAAATAGGATAGGATAAAAGTTAAAATCATCTTTTCCCCTTGCCACTCTTAATATAATTTAGTACCAAATTTTAATGTATAAAAATAAACACATTACAAAGAAAAAAAATAAAACATCACAGTTTCAGTGCCTACACAATTCTTAGAGGATCAGAATCAGTTTTGGAGATACAAACATCAACACTATATTCATGAAGAGAAGTCAGGAGTTGGTCTCTTAATAGGGACAAGTAACCTCTTTCAGTGTTGCTATGTTCACATAGAATAACTGAAGAACCATTATGGATGGCAGAAAGCACTTCATGATGTGACATCTCTCCTGTGATGTAGAGGTCAGCCTTAACACCACGCAACACACTAGAACCGGATCCAGCACATACAGCAATTGACTTGATAATTTCATCATCTGTAATAATGAATACAAGAATTGAAAGCAAAAAGGCAGAAAGAAAAAATACAGTGCACTCCAAGTTTTTCAGCTTCTATGGTTCCAAAGTCGATTCTGATGCAATAATATAATCATGACACATGATTGGTATCCCCATCCCGGCCATTAAGGTGACTTCCTCTTGGATTGATGTTGATGGGTGGGATCTATGCTTTAATACAAACTCTCAGATAACATTAGTCAAATTAAATGTACACAAGCTATGAAGAAGAAAATAAAAATCCACGAAATTGAGAGATCAGCATAAATGTGTGTAATAATCATGTCAACTAATCTGGAAGTCACAGATATTTTAAGAATTTTATTTGAATTGAAAGTACTGCTGAACCATTAATTGCTGCATAATTGGTCTTGTATTTCATAAACACAATACATTATCCTTTTAAAAGGATTACTTCCCCATCTTATTAGTGCAGTTGAAATCAGTTGAGTTGATAATTTATTTAACTAATAAACAAACAGCACAATATCAGATACACGGTACCAGCTTCCAACAAGAGTTAAACCCATAGATCACACCTCAGGTACTCATCTTTCATGGGTATTACCTTAAAGAATTCAGACATAGAAGTTTTGATAATTAAGTAGACAAAGTGGTTAAAAAGAGATCCATGAAAAATGGGTTCCTTGAGGTGTGAGATATAAGGAAAACTTAATTAGAAACAACTTCTTTATTTTTAATTTCATGCTGTTTTTAAACTTAAATGTGAAATTGAAAACTTACCATTATTGAACCCAGGACCATGGGATGTTGCCACTCGGACATGGGGCAACTTTAAGTGTTCCTTCACAATTTCAATTGCCTTATTTAAACTAATCTTGGACTTCAGTTTACTAATTCGCCCAAGGCCAACATCAGGAAGAGGAGGCTGAAAAATAAATAACATCTATTGGGTACTAACCATCCTATCAGCAATACGAAGGTGGGATGCATAACTGTCAGCAAGAGAAACAGCTCAAAATGCGAGTTACAAATTGGAGATGTCAAAAACAAATACATACAGAAGTTTAAATATCTATGACGTGTTTTAAGTGTGACATCACAGAAAATGTGACACTGAAACCTGAAGGCACATTGGAATAGAAAAAAATGCCTTCTAAAAGCTAAAAGTATTAAGTAACAAGAAAATTTCATTAGAAACAAAGAAAAGAGTGCTGAACTGTTATGCAATATAAATTCTATATAGCAGTGAATGCTGGACAATTTCCTCATAGATGAACAGGAGACTTTAGACAAAAGATGCGATTTTACAGAAAGGTGATGAGAATACCATGGATGGACCATATAACAAGGAAGTTTTAAGGAAGAGTGAAACAAAATGGAGATATACTTAGAATAAGAAAGGATTGAAAATTTTTTACACTCACAAAATATATTGATGGCAAGAAGTAACCTATAATGAATTTGTGTAAATAGATGGCAGAACAGGAAGGGATAGTAAAAACACAAACATTGCAAAGAGTTACAAAAGATAGGAAATAGTGGTGAGCCATGATCACCCACATTACAAATGGACACAACACATAAAAAGATATAACAGAACTTCAGTCATTTAATCTCAGAAATTCAAGGTTTGACTCAATTCAGAGATAAATTATATTCACTTAGAGGAGGTGCCAAGATGCTCAAACAGTTAAAATAAATAAATGAAACATTGAACTTAGTCCACATTCTGGCTGAGGTAGTTTGTGTTCACATCAAACTAAAAAGACTATTTCCCCCAATAGGTCAGGCCAAGGATTACTCCCCATGACTGAACATGGTACAATTATGTAATTTTAGCAGTTTTTAAATCACACTGCCATAACAAACCCTCCAAGCTTACAAGGCACAAAGAACATACAACCAAAATATGTAAAAATAAAACCCTTAAATTAAAAAAAAAAAAAAATTAAAATTCTGTTAATATATATCTTCATAAATTCCTGCTTTCACTTTTAGGTGAGAGACTTAAATTTACCTGAGCCCTTCCCTAATAAGGTACATAACTTAACTTCTGCATTTATACAAAGTACAGCAGTATTATCCACTGACCTATTCAAAGTGGCATGTAGTGATAGGCTAATTATCCATCTCTTTTGATAATGCAGAAAAGTGTTATGATAGATAGACAAAGAAATATACATTATAACTTGGACCAATTTTAAATATGTATTAAGTTTAAGCGTCTAATGATTTTTCTTTTTCTTTCAGATTTAACAACTTAAGTCTTTGGCAATTTCAACCATGGAAAAATTCACAAATAATTTTTTTGGAAACAAACTTACTTGAATGAGAAGTCTTCATTTTCCAAACTAAGAAGAAACCAAAGTAATGCCTTTCAGGCTGAATGCTGATAAAAATTAAAATAAACAGATTTAAAGTAGAAATTTATTTACCTTTTTAATTTCTGTGAACACTGGATTTTCAACATTGTATTCCAAAAAAAGCTTACCAATTTTTGGTAGCGCTGATTTAGTGCATACAAATGCAACATGTACTTTTTCTTGCTCAAAAGTGGAAACACTGAAAGAGAGAATAAAAATATTTTATCAACATGAAAAGGCAGCCATCAAACAAAGTCTTCTGACATGCATGACAATGTTTTACAAAAGTATTATTAAAATCACTGACATTATTATTTGAACCCTCAACATTTTAGTTTCACTCAAGATATAACAGAGGGGTAATCCTAGTTTGGCATTTTACTGCCTAAGGGTGCTTAATGACAATTTGAAGTAGGAATTAAAATGAGAAAACTTAGAGATACTGATTAAGAAACAAGAAGTAAAAGAAAAAAACAAATTAAAAAATAATAATTAGAAGCCATAAAATGAGTTTGGAGAAGCCTCTAGGAAGATTTGAACTTGAAATAAACTAAGTGGAATTCATTAAAATTTAGCAAGACTAGATCTCCCCTAATCTACACAGTTGCTTCTGAGGCAGTAGAACAAGATTTACAGTCTTCTAAAATTCCCTAAATTCTAAAGAATTCTTGCTGTTTATTTAAAATACTATCAACCTAACAAATGTTTATAGCTTACCAAGTCCAATGTTTGGGGCGTTTTGGAATGAAGGATTCCACAAGAGGCTTTCAGATTTTAGACAAAGAAAGGTCATATCATATGAAATAAACATTCATTAATTCAATGCCAAAGATTTGCAAAATTCTTATAAAAAACAGCCAATTCCCAGAGACAGACAAACAAAGAGAGCAGATGACAGAATAGGCAAATCCAGTTTTAATTCCTGTTCCTGCTTTGAGGTCTCTCCATTCAATAAACATTGCTACTAGAGTAATTTTTCTGCTGAAAGATTGTCAACCAGGCTACATAGAAAAATTAATTATTCTTTACTCCTTAAATACTTTAAATTCTTTAATTTATTATCATTAAACCCATTGTTAAATATCAGAGGAGTTTGTTGGTTTGTGCCTTGAAATTAGTTTTCAGTAAAGAAATTACCACAGGTGTGAGGATTTCACACTTGAAATTTGTCAAATTACAATGACCAGCAGGTGAAATCCTTGTAGAATCAGGTCACCTTCCAGCTTGCTGATGTCAGCATGCAATGGCTGTGAAAATTAAAAACACTGCCAAATGATGATGCCAATAATACTACATTTTGGTAACACTAGGACAAAGTTTGACAGTTCAATGAAACAAAAAAAGCAACAGCAGCGGCGACAAATATTAAAACAAATGTAACTTTTTTTTTAAAAATCAGAGTTACTGCAAGGAAGGCAGTAATGCCACTAAAACAAAAGGGGTTAATGGGTGTGGAAGAATTAGAAACAGAAACATTAATGATGAACAGAAAGAGAGGAGAATTTACTATAATCATTAGATATGCAATAAAAGTAAATTCTGACAGTAGAAGAGAGTGAGGGTTGTATTTTAATGTCAATTGTATTTCAACCCAGACAGACTTTTCTTATCAATGATACTTTGTCACATTATCATTTAGCTTCTGCTATTTTCCGCATGAAAAATCTAAATGGTATTAATGGTCTAAATATTTCTCGTAGTAAAAAAATAAATTTAATGATTTAAGTAACAAATTTTGTAATTTTCAACTTAAAATTTGTTTTTTAGCAAGTTTTTATAATAAATGTCTATATTGTGTATTGAAAATAAAGAAAGGTATAATCAGTGGTCAGGAATTAATGTAAACAAACAGACTAGTGCTATTATATGAACAAATAGTTTGCTAGTGTCATAAAAAATGACTATTTTTTTTCAATTATTATTGTTACACCTTTTTTTTTCATTGTTCACAGAGCCAGTCTTTTCACTACCTGGCTAGATAAATATAGTCACACACTGCCTTATCTCCCTTGCACTGGCGTATCAGTGATTAGGAATTAATGAAAGCATGATGTAAAAAAAAAAAAGAGATAACCATAGTCAGGATCATTGAATCAATGTGAACGATCCTTTCCTTAGCTGCATATTATGTGCTTTGTCTGGGCTACATACAGTTTTGAATTCAAAGTTTTCCTTCTCCTAGACCAGTTGCCACCCAAAGTTATAGAATCTTGTGTGTTCTACTATTGATCCATAGCTGGGGGAGAAGGTATTAGCACATAAGTGAATGTAATGAAATCAACTTTGTGTTCCTAACAACAACAGAAAAATGATCACTACACCACAAAGAGGCTTCTTAATTTTGAAAAGATGTGTAAAATTTAAGTGCAAGCTTTTTATTATTTTATATATAATCATGATAGTCATGTAAAGAAAAGTAATATTGTCATTGATGCGATTTGTGAATACAAACATAAAAATGCTAAGTACATTTTTAAAAATATTCAGTAAAAAGGCTAATTAAAAATGCTTACTTGAAGGATTCTATATTTGTAACATTCTGGAAGGATTTTAAATTCTGAATAAGCTTAGAGCGTTCTTCAATTGCAATTAGCAAAGTGACACTGTGGCTGTAACAAAATGCAGGATCTTCTTTTGTTGCCAGGGGCATCACGCATGCATTGTCTACAAATAAAATAAAATCCAATCAATGATAGCAAATAAAATATACTAATATTACAGTTTTAGTTAGTTTATTTGTAAGAATAAATTTACAGCTGTAAAAACAACAAAAAAAGGTAGTCAAAATTCCTGGTCATCTATTTTTAATTACCATCTCAAAAGTAAACATCATGAGGCTTTGTCTGTTTTTGTTTTATGGCATATCAACCACAATAGGTTATTTAATGCTGACAATTTTTTTTGCTGGTAATATTTTTTTCCTTCAAAAATGTATCTCTGGTAATAATTTTTTACAAAGTATTTCTGGTATTAAAACCTATTTTTACACTTTCATAGTGTTTTGACATCAGTTTGTGGGTTAACTATTTCCTCATAGTTGGTACCCTAACAGGTGCTACCACACCAGGTAAGGGTGGACCTGGGAACACCAGCAATTAAGAGGTGGTTCCACGCTCCTCAAAACCTGATCAGAAGCCTTGCTGCTGGACGTAGTTTATCGTCTTACGCAGGACGAGGATGTAGTTTATCGTCATACACAGGACGAAAACATCTTGATGCACACAAATGGTTAAAAAAATTATAATTGTAAAAAAAAAACAAAAAAAACCCTTCCAACTTAATCTTGATGTTAATCACACTAGTATTAATTTCCATTTAATAATATATTAATATTCCATTTCATATTGTAGTAGACATTTTGTTGAACCCTCTTTATTGCACAGAGAGTACTGGTGTAATAAAACAGTGCTCAATGTAAAATAACAGAGTTAAAAAAATTTATACTAATAATAATAGTTTTTAGTTACAATACACACAAACACACAGGTGAATATCTATAAAAAAATGTAGCACTTATGACAAGCAATGAAAGGAGATATTGACAATTTGGGTCCCGGTTACCCTTGATTACAGGTAATGCCCCAGTGACAAATTATCAGGCTAGTTTTGTTTTTTTTACGCTGTAATTTTTTTTTTAAATCACGTAATTAATATGAGCACACAAGCACATATTGTTTTGGTTTCGTAGGAGGACCAACAAAAGTTTAACGAACCGAACCCTCCCATTTATTTTTATAAAATTTGATTAGAATTCTGGTTGCAGTAACTAACTACATTCAGTTTTTACTCAGTAAAAAGAAAAAACCCTTAACGAAAAAAAATTTAAATATTGGAGAAAAATTTTGTTATAATTTTTCACAGATTCAGGTTTTATCGTTTTCTTAAATTTTTATAACTGTTGTTAACATTTAAGTAAATAATTTTTTTATAAAATACTATACCGAAAGCAGATAATAGCCAATCATTGACTCCTTCTTTGAGAGAATCACAACTCGTGTGAGGGGAATAAATAGCAATTCGATTTTCTATCGCTTTCACCACTATCTTTTGTTTCCAATCACTTTGGCAAAGCCTCTTCAGTGGTGAGAACACAGGTGGATGGTATGAGAGGATCAGATTCGCCTTGATAGTTAAGGCTTCATCTAGCACTTCAGGTGTAAGGTCATTAGTAAGCAACATTTTAGATACATTATGTGGTGCACTTGGTTCAACTAAAAGACCGACATTATCCCAATCTTCAGCGAAAGCAATGGGCATAAGTTCGTGAAGTTTCAATACAACATTCTTCAGATTTCCTTTTTGATCGACAGCAGAAGTCGACATTTTGAAAGTTTTAAGAAGTTGAGATGGATTTTGCTTTTTATCGCTAGCTGATAACGTCTGTATTGTATTTTTTAAGTTTTCTAAACTACTTCTATGAAACCGGCTCCGAACAAGGAATCGGATCATTTCACGACGTGACACATGGTCAGAACTCTTCTATGCTGGAAGAGAACAAAGCACAACAAACGAAAATATGGAATGATATTTTAAGAAGCGAAAAACGAAATAAAATCTTTAAAAAAATCAAAATTTAATAAAATAGTTTAAAAGATGTTAAAAATTTATTAGATGCCCCACAAAAAATATAAAGACGCCATATTATTGCAATAAAATGTCTCTGTGGTTATTAAACTATTTATATAAACCAATTTAATATATAAATAAATCTATTGAAATTTTTATAATAGTTTTTTTACTTTTCATTTTTCAAATATTTATCAAAGGAAAATCATGCACATGACTGGAAGAAAATAAATTAACAAATACGTTTTTCTGTTTATTCAAGAATTAGAACAGTTCTATTACTAAGTTAACAATAACATTTCCTTTGACAAAAAATTAATCAAATTCAATTATTAGAAATAAAATCAAGTATTTTCATATAAAGAGAAAGAATTTATGGATTTTATATTTTACTGACATATTTTTATTTTATTACTTTCAAACATTTTTTAGTGGATACCCATATTTGAGTAGACGCTCTATTTGTTTTAAACAGTATTTAGGTCGGTAGGCGAAATAAATGCTGTTTAAAATAAACGAAGTGCCTACTCAAATACTGGTATCCACTAAAAATCTACTGTTTCAGTCTTGTCTTTTCGTACCTATCTATCTATCTATCTATCTGTTTCAGTCTTGTCTTTTCGTATCTATCTATCTATCTATCTATCTATCTATCTATCTATCTATCTATCTATCTATCTATCTATCTATCTATCTATCTCCACTCTTCAGTGTGTGTATCAACAATCACCTCACCTCTGGTTGTTCACTTCAATGTCCACTTTATACAGGAGATTTGAAGCAAATATTCATATTTGACTGCAACATTTTTAAAATTTTATTTTATCCCATAATTCTTTTCTATTGGCCTTTTTCTGTTTTTTATTGATAAGAAGAGAAATGGAAAACAAAAGTAACTAGGAACTTAATCAGTTTTTTTTTTTTTTTTTTTGAATGTTGACATTAGGAAATACAATCTCTGGTGAAGATGAAAAAAACAATTGCAGAAATTTTTTTAAAAATCAAATAGAAAATGTTAAATAAAAACGAGCCGAAGTTTTCTCAGCAGTATTTCATCAAAGTATCCATTTTTATTTAACTTCGGCTGACACAACAAAGACATAAATTGAAGCACGTAGTGGGAATCAAACTCAATGTTGATTGTTGATTCATTTTATATTTTTATTTTATTTTTTTACACCTTTTAAAACATTTATGTTCATTTTGACTTGTTGATTTTTAAACGCTTTCTTAAAAAAAAAAATAGCAGCGTAAATAAAACTTGAAAACAATTATCAAGAAAATGTAAAAAAAAAAAATTACTTGTCACAAAATTAAGTATTTAGTAATTTATTTCGCAATTTATTCCAATTAATGAAAGAAAAGTTGACTTAATCAAATTTTCGATTCGACTAGTCCATTCCAAATTTTGCCCATTACCGTTGTGATGGCGCTGTAATTGAAAACAAAGTTGCGGTGAAGTTGACTGGCCTTTGACTCTTTGACAAGCTCAGCTTGTTTCGGTTGAGTCGACTTAAATCATGAGTTCATCATCAACACCTATAGAATCGACTAGCAAAATTCAAGGTATTGGTTTTTAGGAATAGTTAAAAAAAATTTTACCATTTCAATATGAGCATTCGATAACTCGAAACTTCATTTTGTATTGGATTCTTTAATATTCAATTCCTTGTTTGTTTGATGGTTCGTAATTAATTATTATAATCAGTTTTTAAATGCCAATGGCTAATCAGTACTTGGGTTCTTTTGTTTTAAATTAGATAATTGATGAACTTTAAATCTTCGTTTTTATTCTGATCATAGAAGCATCCGCCCTCAAACAAATCCTTAAAAAAAAAAAAAATCCAATGTGACGGATGAGAAAGTTGCTTCTTCTTTTATTCTTCTAATTCGCCATATCTCTTCTTGTTAAATCATTTATCATTATTCATTTACTCGAAAAATATATATATTTTAAATATAACCAAAAGAGTTCTAATAAGTGCTTATTTTTATTATTTTTTTAATTTTCGGTATTTACGTTTTTACAACTCCTCCAAAAGTAGTAGGCACAGTGTTAGTTTGTAAACACAACTAAACAGACAAAAAGAAAAAGAAAATAGGATTGTGTAATAAATATTTATTATTTCGATTTGGAATGAAAATATTGAAATATTGCTTAGGTGCTTATTTGCTTCCCAACTAAAATACATTTAATCGATAATGTCATTTGTAACTAGACTAGAGTGAACATTGCTTATTCATCCGGCCGACTCGGTCACTTGTTTTTTGTTGTTTTTTTTTCCAATCATTAAATAAAAATTAAACTTTTACGGTGATTTCATGGTTTTTATCACCTTTCAATAATGTTTTTACTTATCTAATGCCAAACTCCACATTTTGCTTTGTAATTCTATAGAGCTTAGTTTTCTTTTACTAGCACAAGGCCACACACAGTACACTACAGAAAGATTAAATTAAATTAAGTAAAACTAAAAGGAAAGATGAAAGTAGTACATAACCCACACAAAATTACTCATTTTCTTGATTGATGAACATTTTTTTTAAAAAGTTTCACTTTTTTATTAAAAAAAGAAAAATTATAAAATCGAGTTTTTAAATTATTTTAAAATTTTAAATATGAAAATTGAAAATTTGTCGGAGAATATGTTTATTTTTTCAAATTTTCTTTTCATTTTTATAAAAACATAAAATTGATTTTATTTCATTTATTGATAAAAAAAATGATGGTTTTGAGTACTAATTCATAATTTTCCTTCATCTAATAATTTTTTTTACCCTACCTGTTATAAGAGAAGTGCCATATGTGAATCGAAAGAGACATGATCGCCCAACGATCATGTCTCTTTCGATTCATGACTGATGAGGCAAAAAAAGTTTTTCCCGACAGAAGGCTACCATTTCTTTCTGCACTAGACTGGTTATCAACTAAGACTAGGATCCAGTCTGTCTTGTTATTCAACTCATAGGATGGAGCGGGGAGAAGTGATTGGATTCATACCTTGTGTGTAAGAATGTAACGAACATGACTACTGAAGATAAAAATAAAAAAATTAAGTTTTGTAAATTCTAAACTGTTATCTTGATGAGAGAAGTGCACTTTTTGTTGTGACCAAGAATCAGAATTTCTATTTGTTTATCAAATCTCAGGACAAGAAATTAATGAGCTGAGTTCCAGTCAAATTCGTTACATTCAAATACCATACCTTCCCTTCTCCTCCAAGCTAAGGATTAAATAGTGGGACAAACTGGGCTGTTTAGCCTTGGTTGGCAACCAATCTAAAAGAAGGATATGTTTGAATTCAGTTTTAAAAAGAAATAGTTGGCATGAGGCTAGCAACTGCATCCTGTAAAAATGAAATTGGTATGGAAACCACAGCAGCAATGAATAGTATGTTGAAAGCTTGAGAACCCTTTATCTGAAATTCTTGGGACCAGAAGTGCTTCAGTTTTCAGATTTTTTTTGATTTTGGAATACAAACTATTTAATTTGTATATAGCATCTATAAAATAGGGCAACTTGGGAATGGAACCCAAGCATAAACACTTTACATTTCATAACATAGCTTATACATATACTCTGAAGATAGTTTTATATAAATAACATATACCTTGAAAGTAGTTTTATATAAAATTTAATAAATTTTGTGTACATACAGATACAGGTAATGACATTAGTCATGTAATACTCACACGGATTTTTTAAGTGGAGAAAGTAAATTAAGATTTCACGTAAAAATAATGTTTTTTGCTTTCTTTATGTGTACAAAAAACATGATCGCTGTTTACAAAAAATATATAAATGCAACACCAAACACAACTACTACAATCAGGTGTGAGAGACTGGAAGAAGAAAGTACATTGATGACCTCACTGTGAATGTGAGAAGGAAATTTTACATGTGTGGCAAGTCATGTCAGCACCTGAAAGACTTGGATTTTGGAGGTTTTTGGAATTTCAGATAAATGATACTCAATCTGTATTTAAAATGTACTAAACAACATGTAATGAAAATGCTGCAGTCTTATAGTGCTTTGTAAATAAACTTATAATCAGAATTTTACTAAAGAAACAAAATTCAAATTTTTATTAATGCACTCTTGAAGGACATTCAGTAAGGTCACTCGATTTAAAGCAATGGTTACTTAAGTTTTATAGGCCACTGAGCATGTTCCAATGGTAGCAAATAGAAAATACAACTTGGAACTCTATCAAATCAGTTGAGTTTTACATGATTCAAAATGTTAGCCAAGGAGAAAATGAGATGTTTCTTTTTTAATTAAACATACTATCAACTAATATAAAAATAGGATACTGATAAATCATTTTTCAAGAATGGTTTAAAAACAATTGGTTTCTTTCATCAATAATCAGTTTCAATTCCTACTTCATTCTGACTTATTGAACACTCTCACACAATCTTTCAATAGACTAGGACTTAACATGTCAATTTATTATCATAAGATAACCAGAGACAGATCATTACATCCATAACATACTTATAAATAACAATAAATCAGTTGTTTATTATTAACATTTTTCTCTTCTTTTCCAGCTACTTTGTGCACCACTATTGTTTTTTAGGGTTTTTTTTGCAAACATTTCTAAATGTTTTACAAAACTTAAATTCTTTTGATCAAGTATCATAAAAGAGAAATGATTTATTTAGAATAAAATTGAGATCATTCAATATGTAACACATAAAACAAGACTAAATGTCACAGCAGTGACTTTGAATAAATCTTAATTTCTTCTCGACTTTTAGATCTTTCCATTTTTTTTTTCAGTTGCTGCAGACATTGTAGCTGAGTTTCTGGAAGTAGCATTCCACTGTATTCTTCACAATCGAGATTTATACCCAGCTGGAGTTTTTGAGCGACGCAAGAAATATAATGTCCCAGTTCATGTAAGCTTTGTTTATTGTGTTTTTTGAGGAATTTTTAAAAAAAAGCAGCATTGAAATCTGGCTCTTGTGTAATATGGTTAGGAAAAAACCCTTTTTAGCACTATTAAAGCAATTTTTTTCTTTCTTTATCCAATATCAAAAATTTTGAATGCTGTTGGACATATCAATTTTTACTAATGGGATAGTTTGGAGTTTATCCTCGGTCAATGTTATTTTTTTTTTTTACAAAAGATTATTTTCTTTCTTTTTTTAACATAATTTTAATTATTTAAAATGCATTAAAAATTAATATAATGAAATTAGATAATTGTTAGGGGTTTATCTTATTATGTTTCCCTTTTATTCACCCTATTCTAATTGTGATCAGTGCATAATTCTACTTTTAAAATGTCAGTTTTATGGATATCTTCTCTGACTCATGTTTTTATTACAAATATAATAACCTTATTTTTTTTAGTAATGCTTGCATTAATTCCTAAACATTGACAATCCCTTTTTTTATTTTCCATGCACAAAGTAAACATTGAAACTTGCAAAAAAATTTGCAAAATTCAGTGTTTAATCAATTTTTTTCTTTCCTTACTATCAAAATTTGTTAATGTAGAAAATGATTAAAGCTAAACATGGAAAACTAGGATAGCAGTAAAGTCAATGAACAAATTAAAAAATAAAAGTCAAAATTGTGCTAGGAGACATTTTAACAATGTCTCATAACACAATTTTCACAAATTTGAATACAACTGTAATTATTTCATTTTTTCTTTCTCTGCAAACCACTGGAATTTGTATCACTGTTATCATTAGAGTTAATGCAAATTTGTTTATAATTCCTGGTATTTACTAAACTTAATTTAGGATGGCACAAGGGAAATGGAGATAAATCATATTTGGAAGATTATATTACACCAAACTTCCAAGTAGGGAGTGAAGATGAGCATTTGAATTTTTTCCTTTGAAATAATGGTTTTTAACTGGTCTTGAATACTGACCTCTGGCAAGCACTGGTGTGAATTATCGATTTTAAGCTATGAGATAAATTGTTGATTCATTCTTAAATTGAAACATAAACCCCATTTCTGTCTTATATTTTTCATGATTTCCATATTTTTATGTAACTAAAATTTAAACTTTACTTTTTAGCACTCTTTTCCAATTGTGACTATTGATAAAATCTTACATTCTAAAATCTTATTTAGATGTGCCTCCATCCTGATGTGATCCAATACATTGCACAGATTCTGGAAAGTATAAAACTGTTATTGGACACTCGTGAAGTGGACAGAGTTAGTCTTGTTATTCTTGATCATCAACAGAATCCAGTTGAACGTTTTGTCTTTGAAATTGGCTATCCTTCAAAATACACAGATTTCAGGTAAGCAGTCATTTAATATTACTATTTACAATTGAACTATTGTCCTCCTCTTTGTTGTCAAAACAGTGTTTCAGCCATTGCTGATATGTAAATTTCAGACTGAACCTATTATTTAATCTATAGGGTTAGATTGCTGTTATGCTGTCTATATCTAGGGATATCTCATCTTTTTCTTATTTTGTACTGCTCAGTTATTGCTCACTCTGTTTCCGCCAAGTCTTCACTACCCAGCCCAGGGATTGAACTCACAATTACAATGTCACCAGTTACATGAATTTAATCCACTATTGTCCTGTGGGACAATCTTGGTTCTAATCTGCTTGCTGCTAACATTGCTGCTGCTGTCATATTTGACTGCATTCATTGTAGCATCTTACTGTTGCTGCTGTTGAACCCTTGCTGTAATTTCTCTTTCTTTCTTTATTAATGGTTCCAATATTGTACTACTGAGGAGACCTTCATAGATTAGCATGTCTGCTGATTTCTTCAGTGTTCTCTGTTTAGTCCTTTTCTTTTCATACATGATTAACCATGCCTGATTTCATTGTTTCACCCTTAATTATGGCTTTTTGATGTTCCTCCACCCTTACTTTTAGAGAGTGGCTAGTTTCACTTTTGTATTCTTTGCCACAACTGTAAGAGATGGCATACACAATTCTTGATTATGTTCTCTGTGTTAGGCTTGACTTGGTAGGTATTTCTTTGAATAATATTACTGCCACCAGATTTCACTAACTGAATGAATCTCTTATTTTGACATTCAGTGTTTCTCTTATTAAATGATTTATCTCTATAAAATGTCTTAACATAATTATACAAATGGTAACTCTATTCTATTAGTAACATATCTATTACTGATCATTGTCAATCCAGTGTGATCAAATTGCTGAAACCTTTCTAAGCAGATTTCAGGTCAAAATTTGTAAAATTCAATGTTTAATTTTTTCCTTTCCTACTTATTTTGCTTATTAGTACAGGAAATTGGAGTAGTGATAAAGTCAATGATAAGCAAAGCTAAAACCTTGCCTACATATATCATATTCAAATTCAGCCAACACTAAAGTACAACCTTAATAATTGTTTCACTTTTCCCTTGCCATCAGAGTGTATGACAACAGCAAAAACACATTAACATCACTGTCTAATCCATTTGAATTATTAACACATATATTTAAAATTTAGTATTTTCAAAGGTTTGTCTATTCTGATAGTACAACACTTAATTATTGAAGTGCTGTTGTGTGTTACTTCAATTGAAACTTAAGTCATTTCTCTTGACAGTCTTTATTATTTTGGTAGGTTTCTATCTTATGAATGTTGTTTTCAATTACAGCTCAGATATTTTGTTTACTGAATTGGAACAGTCATTGCGTGCATTTCTTCTCAAACTTAATGTCTGTGATGCCATGTTAAAACCACTCCCTAATGGTGAGTATAATCCATTTCCTCTTCAGTTAAGAACATTTTTAAAAAATTCTTTTTTTCTCTCTCTTTGGTTTCATTAAAGAAAAATATAGAAAACAGCTGTGGATCAGTTGATTTCCTTCTGTTCTTTTCATGCCAAAAATAATTTTACATCTTTAAGTACATCATAAATTAATTGGTGAAATTATTGTTTGCTTAATTTATTTAGCTACAATATTAAAAGGGAAACAAATTTTTTGTTTTCTTTCAGTTTTTCAATCATCGAGAGATATAGGGCCAACATACTCTCTTGTGCATTCTACATATGCAAAATGGAAAAATGCTGTCTTGTGACAAATCAATTTGTTGGGCACATAACAACAGCAAAATGTTGGCAATATAATATTTCAACATAACATTTTCTTTTTTATTGTATCTGAAAAGTGAATTTGATATTCTTTCAGTGAGCCAGAAATTTGACTTGTGATCAGTTCTATTAAGTTTTTATAAAGTGATTGTTAAAAATAAGACCTTTTCAGATATGAAGCAGTTATATTCCTTTCAGTCTTCTGGTAATTTACCATTATCATTTTTTCTTCTTCTCAAAAGCATCTCGCCTCACTTACACTTTACTGGCTGACATGTTTACACTTTTCCAAAGTCAAGGAGGAAGAAGAGTTCACTCAAACTAACACCAGGTCCATTGCTACACTTTGATTAAAGCACTTCCCCATATATCATAAGCAAAATTTAGCTAAACCCTCTCACTGCCATAGTTGTGATGGCCCATATCATATTGAAACACTGGTTCTGATACAATCACAGAAATTAAGCAAGATTAAGCCTAGTCAGTATCAGTACATAGATGGGTGATCACAGGAATACCAGGTGCTGTCAGCTTGAATGTATATGTGGTGTAAGTATTTACCAGGCCTCCCCACTAAGGCAGTATGTGACACAATGTCGATTTTTTTTTTATTCAATTCAGACATGCTCATCTTAGTTGTTATACCCACAAAGATTTGCTCATTGTATCTTCCAGGTTTTTCCAGGTATCTCTTGTACTTGGCAACCTTCTCAAAATTTTGAACTTAACCTATTATTCAATCTACTTTCTATGCTTAGGGGATATCCCATATCAGTTAATTCTCCCTAGTCTATTTGCCTTTTTTTCTTCACTATGCATATTAATGTTCCTTTGTAGTGGATAAAGGAAATTGTGTTGCTTGTCTATTTCAGCTACTGAATCAGTGTATATGATTTTTCAGCATTACCTGCTCCAGAGATTCAACTGTCAGGAAACAAATTTCCCACACAATTTTATGTATATTTTTATTAAAAGTTGTGCAGGTGTATTGTTTCCAACCCAATAGATATGTTTTAACCAATACACTAGGCTATCTGTCTTGTTTGTGCTTGAGTAGTGGAATTATAATAAGGAATTATATTATAGTCTCAAACATTCCAACATAAATTATGAAGTAGTTAATAGAAAAGATAATTCTCAGAAATAAACTTTTATATTTGTTATGCTTATTATGGAATATTTTCCTTTTGGGTGCTTAGACAAACAATTATTTTGAATATTATATGATAATGATGGACTCTCCTGTCAATTTCAACATATGAGGATCTGACAACTACATTCAGTTTTTGTTTGTATTATAGTGATTTTCCAAGCGTAGCTTAGATGTGGCACAAGGCCGAAATTAGGGGCACCTAGTGAGGATCGAACTCACTACTCAGTCGTAAAAGTTTTAGCGAGCCAAGCTTGCTAACCTTTACACCGCCTTGAGGTGCCCTTTGTATTATATGTGACACTTCAGTCCTTCTAGTGACCTATATACAAGTTCACATATTGTGCTACAGCGAGGATCTCAGGACATAGCAACAGGAATATTTGCTGATGCTTTTCACTGTTGTCTTTCATCTCTTAGCCAGGCAATAGGACTGATTTTAAAATTTCTGATACCACTCTGGCACGAATATCTCCAGTTACTTCTATCCAGGGCAACTCACTCAAAGTTTGTGTGAAGCACATTGACAGCTGATAGTTTACTCTTTAGCTTGTCTTTATACCTGAGCCATATAATATCATATTGCTCTTTTTATACATTGATTATTTTTGAAGAAATCATCCCAATCCAACAAAAATTTATATTGCAGATGCCACTTGGGTTATCCACATTCACACCAATGACTGTGCAATGCTTCGACTTGAAGAAAAACAGATTTTGAAGGTAATACTTACAATTGACATTCACTTTATATAAAACCAAACCAAATTAAATTCTCTTTCTAGATTTCTGAGGCACTTATTGTTTTTTATTACCAACTTAATGGGAAGCTTTTGAGATCTCTTTGTTTAATATGGTTTTTCTATGAAAATTTCTGATATGTAGTAATATCTACCACATGTAATATCACAAATACTTCTTTTTTTTCAACTTTCCTTATTCACTGGTAGCCTTTTGTAGTGGCCCTGCAAAAAAGTGTGATTACTGTTTTTGATTTAAAAGAAGAAAAAGTTTCAGCAATTTCACATAGAAAAACTTTTTAATAGATTTTGTGATAATCTGGTTGCATCATCAAGTGCTTTACAATAATATTATTGAAATATAATTGTCATTTTCTTTTCTTATATATCTCCCATAATTAAATTTATATATTTATACCTGTTTTTTTGTTATGATTTATTTTTCTTTTATGTGATGAGATGGCAAAAAGGTCTTGGCCTGACCAAGAAGGGATTCATTTCCAAATTTTAATATTTGATTAATCAGATTTTGGAAAGTGGATTGAGCAGAGGATTTTTTTAGCGCCTCTGTCAGTTATATATTTAATAGTAAATGGATTGTTTTTTTTTTTTTTTTTTTTTAGGTCAGGGAGGATAGAAATATTGGCTTTACAAGTAATGTTTATGCTGGTGTGTCATTCCCAATTCAACTTTGACCTCCAGTTAATATCAAAAGAGAGAGGTTTCCAGATTAGGGTTAGCACCTGATGAGTGATTTGTTGGAGGCATTGCTGTTGTTGCAACCATTCTATTGTTGTTTTACACACACACACACACACACACACATATATATATATATATATATATATATATATATATATATATATATATATATATATATATATATATAAGATGCATTCTAAATATAACTTAAAGCCTGAATTATGTTAATTCATGCTTTAATTATACATTCTTGCTTTCTGCTAAACTTTGATCTTGAAAAATTTAAATGCAATGTCAACCATTATCTTCAGTGTTCTTAATTGTTGTTCTTTTATTGTTCTTTCTCCTTCATAATGTTTTTTTTTTCTCATATTCTTTTACACTTGGTACAATAACCCCTTGGATTAATTTTAATTGTCTTATTTGGGGTGAAATGATTAAAAAATAAATGAATTATATTTTATAAATGAGATTGCATAATGATTTTCTATTGCACTTGTACCAGATTCTACTTGGAGTGATTTGTAAATTTCAAGCTTAACCTTCATATAAAATCGAGTTTATAATTTTGAGTCAGATGGTGAGATGATTTTTTTTTTAATTATAAATAAGGAGAATTCATCTTACCTGGTGCAAGGCACAATGTGTACATGTGTGCAAAATAATTCCAGTATAATTTATCACCATTACAGTTGATTATTTTGCTATTTTCTATTTTCTTTATCTAGAACTTTCCATGGATAGAGGCTGAAGAAAAACAAAAGACAATGCATAGTCCAACTTTGGTTCCTATGAAAACAGTTAGTTCAGATATTGTAAAGGTACATAAACCTTTTATTTTTATTATGTCTTATCATAAGAGATATTAATTCTGCTTTGCTATAACCTCAATTCTTTACATAACCATAATAATTTTGTATATATTAATTTCATCTTTCTTTCTTTTTTTTTTTTTAATTAATTTTAAATATTTTTCAAAACATTTTTTCAGATGCAATTATTTGTGGAAGAAAGTGCAATGAAATGTGACCCAAGCACATCCTGAAAAACAGATAACCAGTTATTAAAGCTGCAAATTTAGTTCTGACTATGCAGGTTATTTTACACTCAGGTTGTGTTTTGTAGCAGGTGAAATGCTTGGAGTTACTCCTCACCCTTTGTAACATCACATCGTCAGTATATTTTTTAATCCACATCCCAAAAGCTGTTGCTAACCACCTGATTACCTCCCTTTTGTTCTTGTCAGGGATTTCATGATTTTTTTCAGGAAAAGCTCTAAAAGGCGAGTTCTTTTATCCCTCAGCCTTCTAATTCTGTACAAACATACACAAATACATAAATGTTTCATTTGGCTTACACTGCTTCTCTAAGTTTTTTGACTGATCTTTTCACAAAATAACAATATATAATTATTCAAATATGTTAAAAAATAACTTTGTACTATTCGTTTTTTATAAATTAGGATGAGACACTCTTCTTACCCCAGGCTTTTTTTTAACAAAACAAGGTGCTCAGAACACATAGAAATTCTTAGAAGGTCACCTATTTAACAACTGACTATGATAAATGTTTCTTAACTTAAATAATCATATGACTTTCAATGTGCTCTGGAACAATGCTTCGTCTTCATATGAAATTAGCATCAAAATTGGCTTCAGTTTTACATTATGGTTTGTAATGTTATATTATATAGTAACAGCTGTGTTTGTGCACTTGGATAAGATATCTGAATTTAGTAAACTTGAAGTGTTTTTGTTTGACATAATTTTAATTCTAGCAAAATTCTACCATATTTCAAATTAAGAATTTTGAGATTGTTGTTAATAGGTTCAGATTTTTTTCTCCCACACCTCAAAAAATATAATTCAACCTATATTGGAAAGATTTCTGCAATGTATGTATGTATTACATATTTTGGTTGAAATTCATCCTGGGGTTGCATACAAATGACAATTTCAGTTGCACACACTTTGATGTAGCAAAACTTATTGTCCAACTTATTCTTGACTGTAACTAATTCCTCTCAACAAAGATGCACTAAATTTTTTTGTGCTTACCACAAGAATATACTAAATAATTGAATAAGATCTTTTTGTCTAAATGACTAAACCAGAAGATTGTATTATTTTATATAAATGAAAACAATCAAATAAGTAAATTTCTTTCAGTAACTTTTTTTGCAGTTCATTTCAACAGTGCAATGTAAACTTTTATATATTTGTTTAGTTGTGAAACTCTTTAAACAGGAGATTGATATAAAGATTGTATTTTTCCTCTGAAAACCTGATAAACTCCTGGGACTGCTTCAAGTGTTTCCTTCTCTTCTTCTCTATATAAACTGCTGAAAATTTTTGAAAAACACCTTAGCAGTTCTAGGATGCTGATTATTACACTGCACTAATGAATTAGTTTACCAATCCAACTAATTCAGTAGTGTCATGAGTTTAATTTTCACCAAGTTGGCCACTATTGTAGCTTCAGTCTTGTGACATCTAATCTTGGTAAATAATCAAAGGAATTCTCATAAAAAAAAAACAAAGTTTATTAGAATTTATTTTATTTTCTTAGGTTTTCTCATACAACACTCAAAATATACTTCTTGGTTTTAACATTATTTTAATGCAAAATCAATATCCAAGAAAATTCAAATCTCAAGCTGATAATGGGTTTTTGAATGGCATTGTCTGTTGATATGTAAAATCTGAAGTCTTTATCATCAGTCACATTGTTCAGAATAATAACAAAGATGAAAATGTTAGTTCAAATAGCTTGTGAAATAATGTAATAAAAATTTTGAATTTTAATGAATTTAATAAAATAAAAAATTGTGTTAAAATATCAACACCATCACTAACACAAGGAGTATAGCGAATAGAACTGATATGAAAAAATGCAAATAGAGCTTAGATATATAAAAAAATATATATTTGCTTCAAATGTTTTATTAGTTTATTTATAACAGCCATTTTCTCAGTCTCTCCCCAAAGTCTGTCAAACATGTGGAATAAATATCAATCAACATGCCAACTAAAGCCAAATATGGTACAAGGCAGGATTTAAAGTGGGAGTTTTATGCATGCATGGACTAAGAACAAAAATGACTCAAGTTCCTTCAACATTTCCTTTTTGGGAACATTTCAGGTGCTAGAGATTAACCCTAGCTTCCCTGCAAAGGAGAGTTACTACATAGGAAGATGGCCTTCTTGGGCTCACTCTGACGGGTTTCTGGCATATGTGCTAGGTAAATATGAGTTTGATTTGAATATATGTTAGCAAAGGTTTTTGAATTCACAGTTGGCCTTCTATTATAGACTAGTTTCCCTACTAAGGCTATGATTTTTCTCTTCTATTTATCCTTAGCTGAAGGAGAAAAGATGATGTATACCTTTCCCAAGAGTATTAGTGCAAAGTGAAAACAACAGCCTTATTTAGAATCTGAACTCAACCTGCTGGTTCCATTTTCTCTGCTGATAACCATTATGCCACTCCACATCCTTGAGACATTAGAAAGCTATAAATATTCATGTAAAGAATTCCTACTCTTACCTATAGATCTTGAATTTCACACTTATTGTACTGAACACTACAGAGAAGGTAAAAGCAAAAATAATCAGATGGCAGGCAATTATTTATCAATGGAGTGAGTTAAAATTCATTTCTTTAAAGCATTTATATCTGGTAGCCTTCAGATACTGCTGCTATGTAGAATATAGAGTTATTGGTAAAGCTCAGTAGTTATGCTGTCTGAGAAAGATCTGTAATTATAAAACAAAAAAAACAACCGTTGAGCATCAGACTTGTTTGTAGAAACCTTTGGATACAAATGCTCCAATGAGAGCTCAGTGGATTAACAAAAAGAGTCCAAAAAGCATGAAATCCAACTTATCACGTAGCTTTTATCAGTTATTTGTATTCATTTTGCAAATGCAACAAAAAAGTTGGCAGAAGCAAGTACAAGTATATAATTGCCACCCAAACAAAATGCTGTTATATCGGTTGCCAATGACAGCAGCTTTGTTTATAGATCAATAAGGAAATTGAACTAATTCTTGCTTTATCAGGGAAGCTGCAACTTTTAATTTTGGTAATTTAAAAAAAAATTTTTTTTTTCTCTATTTTTTTTCCTTATGAGCAAGATCTCAATATGACAATTCTTCTGAAACGGTTTTCTTTTAAATATTCCTGATTAATTTCATCCAGTGTTAATTTATATTTTGTAAATCAATATGAAATAGATTCCTGATTTTTCTGCTGTGACGATTATTATTTCAGACACACATTAACAGAAACTGCATCATTCACTTCTTTCTCATCTGCATTTGTTAACATTTTAAAGATGGCCTCGATATTATTTAACATTTATCATAACTATTATTTGGCATTAAAAGTGTGGGTTCTTTTTTTGGTTTGCAGAAGAAAATACAAACATTTGCTTTGACGCAGTTTAACCTCTGTAGGTGACTATTTTCACCAAGCAAAATGTTAGTACTGCCAATGGAAGCTGAATTGGAAATTATTGGTTATGTCGTCATATCCTTCTATGGCAACACAGTAAAACAATCTTGACTAAAATTGTGAGCCAGGCTACTGCAATTTCAAATATATAGAATTAATATATAAAACACTATATTTTGAGGGATTCCATATACAATAAAAGGTGAAGTAATATTTATAAATGATGCAAATTGCTAAATGTTAAATATTTCCTATCTGTTTCACAATGTCATTTATTTTTTTTCAACATGAGAAATTTTGGTCTCACTGAAGGTGTGCTTTATTCAGTTCTTATGTTAGGAATTCTTTAATTTTTTTATGTTGTTAAAATAATTTATGTAGCAGTATTTTTTGTTCAAGTGATATAAATAAAATACTTAAATAAGTAACTTTTATGCATATTTAAACAACATATTTTGATGGAAAAAATGTTCAAATCTGTTTTATGTTAGTTTCTCTGAATTTGTTTTATTTGTAAATATTGCTGTCTATATTCGAGTAATATTTATAATGAAAAAAAATGTTTTGCAACAAAACTATTCTCATTGATCCAAGTGTAGCTGGATCTTTATGCTGTTTATATATAATATCTTTTGTTTTTCACTGAGGATGATGTAGTGAAAGGTTTTGTTTGCATCATCCAATACTTTGAAACAATCACACATTCAAGTTAATAACTGGATTTAGTGTTGCTTAATTGTGGTAAGCTATTGCCAACCAGTGTTTCCAATTACACTGTTCATCTGATGCATTTTCATTTCTTTATAAAAATAGCTTAAAGAAATTTGCAGCTTGTCATATAAAATATTTTTACCCTCATTTCTACAACTCCAGCCAATCATAGTACAGGGTGCAACAGAAATACCTCCCACATAATGGTAAGATATTAATGAGATGAAGACACTATAGCCACTAATGTCTTACCATTATGTGGGAGGTATTTCTGCTGCATGCTATATTTTTTAAAATACTTAAATGGTTACCACAAACTTGAAACAATTTTTGTCAAGACTCCCTTAAAGCTAAAATCAATAAAACTAAAGATTATAATGATCCCTTTTTCAAAATCATTTTTAAGTAAAAATATCCTTAAAAATAAGAAATATTTGATTTTTCATTATAATAACTTAAATGAAAACTACTATTTTGTTTTTAGTGATAATAAACTTTGTATTAAACAAAAATCAAATAAAAATTAAAAGAAAATACACCAGATCTATAGCAGATGACTAAAATGTTTCATGAACACATTCAAACAAATTCAAGTCATAATTTGGCACTGGTTTTCTTTATTCTGGAAGGCATCGAATTTGTGTATATTCAATGTAAAAGATTTTTTTTGTTCTTTGTTTTCTTCTTGTTGTCTCTTTGGTGCATTTATGTTGTGGAATGTATAGAAATTAATGCCTTTGTATCAGGTCATGTTTCTCAGTGTTTACTGTGCATATATGTGAATGTTAAAACAGAGGAGATAAGCCACTCTGAAAAACATGTTTGTTGGGCAATCAGTGTTTACTTAAGAAGAGTTGTGGATGATTTTGTTACTATATG